CGGCACCGGTCCAGGCCCCGGGGGTTGGGGACCGCTGATCTAAGTCAGCAAGATTCATAATGACATAAAGAAGTAAATGATCAATGTCAGGTAGGAGCGATTGAAATTGGAAACTTTTGTAAAGATAGCGCTCAATGTGCAGCAGCTTTGTTTTCAATACCACCACATTTAGGCCAAGATTAATATTATAAATGAGAAAATAAAATGTTAGGGTTGACCTTTGATAGCAGTATATCTGACAGGAACAGTGACTTAGACATCTTTGTATATAATATGTGGTATTTAGTGTACCAAGCATCCCTTGGTAGAATAGATATCAGCACAAAGAAAAATATATCCAAAACTAGTTGCAATAGAATAATTTAGTCATTTAATTACACAACTAAAATGTATAATTTATAATTTAGCAAGAGAGGCAGTTTATGTGAAAACATAATGGTTGCAGTAGAAATGATACAACACCTAAGAGAATGAAAAGACTAAATGTTTTATCAAAGCAGCATTTAAAATTGACTGTAATGAGCAACTTGTATGCTTGTTTATGTTCCTTTTCAGTATGCTAAGATCACAGATTGTGAGTGTAATTTTCTGACACTGGCATTTCTGTGGAACAAATTGAAATAAAATGTTCACTCTTCCTTATTAGAGCCTTGCTTTAATATAATGTAAGTGTGCAAATCACCATCTACTTTGAAGGCAGAGCGTTTCCCAAATGAAACTGACCCTTGCAAATTGCATGAACCTTGATAAATCCAGCAGAATCACCCACAATTATAGATGGTAATTTTTTGCATTTAAGTCTCACTTAAATGCATGTAGATTAAAGGGAAGAGTGCACTTGTTGTTAGCATGCAAAGCACAAGTCAGAGTGTCTGTACCATTTGATAATAACCAAAACATTTCTGAGCATGGGATCTGTGTGATACAAAATACTAAAGCGTTTGCAAATTTGCTTCAGTAAAATGTATTTGAGCGCTTGAGACGCTACCTTCCTGTGATCCAAACTACCATATGTACTTGTAACATTGTGGACTCTCATGAGGTACAGTGACAGAAACTGTATTTCAGTGTTTCAGACCAGCAACCTCAGTGTTTAAGCAATTGCCTAAAGCTATTCCTTTTTCAATATTTGTCCTTCTAGGGGGGATTTATGGTTATGAAGAGTAAGACTCTGAAGGTCCACAATACTAATAGAGTTTGGAAAGAGGATGGTAGCAATTTCTGTTTTTTGCCCCGAGGTCCTTTTCAGGGATATTATGTGTAAAACTCCAAGAACATTGTGTGACTATGATAAAAATGTGTTGTCATCATTGGACTCACTGTATTCAGAGAGTTGTAGCTGCTAGCTTAGTCTGTCTCTTCCTGCCAGTTAGGTAGTCTGTCTGTCTCTATCCACTCCGCATGAGAAATGAGGAATGAGGTGTCGCCTACGGTCAGAGAAGGAGAGAAAGAGTGTGTCAGACAGATAGACTGAGTGGAGCAGTCTGTGAATATGTCAGGTTAAAATGCTGGGACATTGCTCCCCTGTAATCCCTTTGGCTCCGTAGATTAGGAGAGACATGCTGTAGTGCCAGCTGCCAAATTTGTATTCTGGTCATCTCCCTTTCTTTCTGCAAGAGTCGACTTTTTGCCATATTTAGTCCAGGAAAATAAAATGCTAATTTCCCCCTTTGGTTTCAACTAGAAATCAAGCCAAAGAGGGACTTATCTTGCTTTTTGAACATGCAGAGCTTAGTCCTGAATTGACCTCTGGAAGTCCAGCCGCAGGCAGAGATGTATTCAGATTTAGTCTGCTTGTTTTCTTTACAAACATCCTGTGTGGTATAACCTATTCATTCATCAAAGTCAGAAAAAGAAAACAATTCATTTTGCTGGGAGGGAAGGGAGAGAGCCACAATCATTATTGTTTGGACGATAACAATGATTAAAGTTGAAGATCTTGTTTTTTTACTTTTTCTTTTTTTCTAACGTTCGCTAAAACTCACGCAAACACACACAAACACATGCAGCAAACAGCAAACAACACTGGAATAAAAGAACATAAGGAAACTGTGCCGTGACATTAAACAAAACTTCGGGGGGCTTATGGAGGAAAATCTCACCTCAGTATGTAATATCAGCAAACGCAGAAGCAGAGAGTAAATAGAGTACTGAAGGTACAGTATTCGAATACACACACTCAATTTCACTGTAAGGTGCTTAAGTTAAATCCTCCTAAATGTCTGGAGTCTAAAGCCATCAGTCTGGTTCAGTAAGACTGTGTTTTGTGCTTTGAGCTAAACAGGCAGCATGCTGACAATGACAGTTCAATATGTTGTTAGCAGGGAAAATGTGTACCAGGGTCACATCTTTCATATGCCAGCTGAAAGCTGTATCGCTGAAGTAAACTGTATAGAAAAGGACGTAGCATCAACTATTAGATTCTGGACTCCTGGGTTAAAGCTCAGAGCTGAGCTTTTTGTCTGTCATTATCTTGGTGTTGATGCACACTCATACAGTCACGACTAAAGCAAGCACTGCTTTATTAGCTTATCTTGAAATTCTTTCCAATACCAAAGGATGGCTCCTTTGGTATTGGAAAGAATGCTATTTGACACTGGCTTCACTCTTCAAACCCAGGCGGTGTGTATGTCTTTTATACATAGTCTATAGTCATTATATTGTTATTTATTTAATTCAATCCAATTTTATTTATGTAGCTCCAAATCACAACAACAGTCACCTCAAGGCATTTAATATTGTCAGGTAAAACCCTTCCAATAATACAGAGAAACTCCCAACAAGCAAGCACTTTGGTGACAGTGGGAAGGAAAAAGTCCCTTTTCAAGAGAAGAAATCTCTGGTAGCACCAGGTTTAGGGAGGGGCAGGCATCTGTCGTGACTGGTTGGGTCAGATGGCAACAAAGCACTATACAGGGAGTGCAGAATTATTAGGCAAATGAGTATTTTGTCCACATCATCCTCTTCATGCATGTTGTCTTACTCCAAGCTGTATAGGCTCGAAAGCCTACTACCAATTAAGCATATTAGGTGATGTGCATCTCTGTAATGAGAAGGGGTGTGGTCTAATGACATCAACACCCTATATCAGGTGTGCATAATTATTAGGCAACGTCCTTTCCTTTGGCAAAATGGGTCAAAAGAAGGACTTGACAGGCTCAGAAAAGTCAAAAATAGTGAGATATCTTGCAGAGGGATGCAGCAGTCTCAAAATTGCAAAGCTTCTGAAGCGCGATCATCGAACAATCAAGCGTTTCATTCAAAATAGTCAACAGGGTCGCAAGAAGCGTGTGGAAAAACCAAGGCGCAAAATAACTGCCCATGAACTGAGAAAAGTCAAGCGTGCAGCTGCCAAGATGCCACTTGCCACCAGTTTGGCCATATTTCAGAGCTGCAACATCACTGGAGTGCCCAAAAGCACAAGGTGTGCAATACTCAGAGACATGGCCAAGGTAAGAAAGGCTGAAAGACGACCACCACTGAACAAGACACACAAGCTGAAACGTCAAGACTGGGCCAAGAAATATCTCAAGACTGGTTTTTCTAAGGTTTTATGGACTGATGAAATGAGAGTGAGTCTTGATGGGCCAGATGGATGGGCCCGTGGCTGGATTGGTAAAGGGCAGAGAGCTCCAGTCCGACTCAGACGCCAGCAAGGTGGAGGTGGAGTACTGGTTTGGGCTGGTATCATCAAAGATGAGCTTGTGGGGCCTTTTCGGGTTGAGGATGGAGTCAAGCTCAACTCCCAGTCCTACTGCCAGTTTCTGGAAGACACCTTCTTCAAGCAGTGGTACAGGAAGAAGTCTGCATCCTTCAAGAAAAACATGATTTTCATGCAGGACAATGCTCCATCACACGCGTCCAAGTACTCCACAGCGTGGCTGGCAAGAAAGTGTATAAAAGAAGAAAAACTAATGACATGGCCTCCTTGTTCACCTGATCTGAACCCCATTGAGAACCTGTGGTCCATCATCAAATGTGAGATTTACAAGGAGGGAAAACAGTACACCTCTCTGAACAGTGTCTGGGAGGCTGTGGTTGCTGCTGCACGCAATGTTGATGGTGAACAGATCAAAACACTGACAGAATCCATGGATGGCAGGCTTTTGAGTGTCCTTGCAAAGAAAGGTGGCTATATTGGTCGCTGATTTGTTTTTGTTTTGTTTTTGAATGTCAGAAATGTATATTTGTGAATGTGGAGATGTTATATTGGTTTCACTGGTAAAAATAAATAATTGAAATGGGTATATATTTGTTTTTTGTTAAGTTGCCTAATAATTATGCACAGTAATAGTCACCTGCACACACAGATATCCCCCTAAAATAGCTAAAACTAAAAACAAACTAAAAACTACTTCCAAAAACATTCAGCTTTGATATTAATGAGTTTTTTGGGTTCATTGAGAACATGGTTGTTGTTCAATAATAAAATTATTCCTCAAAAATACAACTTGCCTAATAATTCTGCACTCCCTGTACAGACTGCAGTTTTTTCCTGTTGGTGGTGAAAGAACCAGAGAACCACCAAGTAATAAGAGGAGGGCAAACATGCTTGTGTCTAATTTCTTTGTCAATCCATCAATCAAAGAGTAGTTCAAATCCACCACAGCAAAACAAACCCCAAGTAAGTAGGTACATAGCCCTGGCCACAATATCAGACCCTAGCTTTCTTCTAGCAAAGCATGGAAAATGTAAGCCAAAGTTTCAAAATTGTAAACATTTATTTTGCCATACAGACAAAGAGGAGCTGCATTTTCAAGAAGTGCCTGAAGATTGGTAGTCACACAGTGGTAGGTCCAGTTAGCGGTGTTGTCTTTTCTGATAGGAGTTCTTTATCTGACTGTGGCTCTTCCACACCAGCATTCAGACGTTTATTGATTCCTGTTATTATCTGTTCTAAACACTTGCTTTTCATTGTCAGCTTTCCTTTCTAATAGGATCTATTCCCTTCCGAAAAATGAATATCTTCTAGCAGTCTAATATCAGGATTACACACTCACAGACCTGCACAGTAGCTTTAGGCAGCCAGGCCACAGAAATGAAGAGCTTCTCTTTTAAGTTGAATCCTCCATAATGAACCAACAGGAAGGTGACAAGTAGACGGATCACCAGACCAATAAGAATGCAGGCCATACCCAGACCTAAGGGCATAGACACAACAACAAAGAGGAAACCAGTATCTTAAATTTCCTCAAGCCATGAAATGTTTTGCTCTGCAGGTTAAAGCTCTTTGATTACTGGGCCCACTGGGCTCCTAGTAACTGAGAACAAAATCTAGAAACAAATGGAGCAAAGTCTAACTGAAATATACTGGTAATATAATGTTCTTACCCACAGTGCTTGGGCTGAGTGCTTTAATCGTGATCTCAGCTCCAATCAGACCAAAGAGAAGTGGCTGAAATACATCCCATGACCGGCCCACCATTTCTGCTACTGGTGCCTGATTGCGAAGTTAGAGATACCTGGATTAACCACATTCCATGGTGCCAGCCATTAAAAGACATGTTGATTTAGGGTAAACATGACAAAATCCAAGGGGCAGGATGCAGGTTAAAGTGATCCTGATATATGATACCTTTTCAGTCTTCCAGCCCAGTGCAGCCAGGAAAGCCAGCACCAGTGTACAGAGACCTCCAGCTCCAGCAAAACCTATAACATGACTGAAGAAGACTGAAAATATGGACAGACCCAGCAACATGAGGGTCCTCCTCAATACCAGATCCTCCTGCGATCAGACAGAAGATATTAAAGACACATTTTATGAACAATTAAAAAAGGAAAAATCATATTAATATAAAAATGTCAGACCTGGTCATTGCTGGGGAAGCAGTACAAGAACATGCCCAGGATCATACCAGCTACGATGCCTCCCACCACCTCCAGCAGACCCTTCAGTATGTTCATCCATGTAGAACCTGCAGGACAAACACAACGAGACCATGTAGACTAGAAAAAACACAAACCATAATGAACAGCACAGGACAGAAACATTTTGTCTGACCTGTAGAGAAGGCGATTCCCAAACAAGTAGAGAATCCTGTTATGGCAAGAATATCATCAAAGCTTCCAGCAGCCATCAGGAGGGTGGGGATTCCCTGAAGAACAACACACAGTGACATTAAAGATTCATATTAGAGCAGAAGGCTTGATCTTTCTTGACTCCCATGGAAGCTCTTGGGTTTGAGGAGCTTTACTGGAGGAGCCCTAGATCTTTTTGGTGATGCTTTCCCTTCCTTTAAATAGACTTGAAGTGATTAAACGCTTTGAGAAATAGCTGAAGGGATTCTAGTGGTGTATTATAGGTATTGGGGTTGTTGTGAAAACTAATAAGGTGTACAACTCTTTTAGAAGAGTATTGCTACTTAATCAGTATCCTATCAAAGGTTCAAGTGTTGCTTAAGCTGGCTTTAGTGACTTTGTATGAGGTATTAAGGACCACTGTGGGTCTCCTAGAGGTCACTGTGGGTTCTTGTAAATGGGGTAGAGCATGATTAGGAAGCTTAGCAATCACTGAGAATGTGTTGATGGAGCTCGAGGATCTGTAGAGGCCCCTATATTGATTTTATTAATGGTGTCAATTGTTATGTAATGTTTACAGTCCTGCAGGTGGTTCTGCTGTTATTTTTATTTTATACTTGCTCTGCATAAGCCTACACAGATGATGTGTCATGTCTATAGACTCATCTCAGGCTCATCTGTTTTTCCACCCATACGCTGCCCCTTGTGGCTGGATGAACCTTTCATCAGTCAAATGTAGTGATGATAGTAACGGGTGATAATTTACCTTCTCCACTCCATATCCTTCTCTCTGCAGGAGCAGCATTGAAGGAACAACAACTGCTGGAGAAACGGCAGCCAGTACAAAACTGCACAAACACAAATATCATAGGCACAATGAGTGTCGCTTTACTTTGAATCTAGTCATACAGAAAGAAATGGCTCTGTGTGTGTGTCTAGGGATGGGTATCGTTTAGGTTTTATCCGATACCGGTGCCAAACCGGTACTTTTGAAACGGTGCCGGTGCTTAAACGGTGCTCAAACCGGTGCTCAAACCGGTGCTTAAAGAATGGAGAACA